CCCAAAACCCGCCCCGGCCCCTACCGGGGAAACCCCAACCGATACTAGCAGGGCCAGACTCTGCACTTTCCCCTCCGACTGTCTCCCAGCACAGCACAAGCAGCCGGGCAGCTGGCCCTATACCACCCCGAGCCCCGGCCCAGGAGCCGGCAGCACGGCAGGAGCACAGTGTAGGATGACAAGTCGCCAAATATCACACGGACTTCCACTGCTTGTTTTGCTTCTGCTTTTAATTAAAGCCATACTCGTTGGGATAAGTCGGCCACGGTGTGGGGTTCCCTCACTTTGTCCGCTTGCAAGCGGCTGCCTTGAGGTTTTTCAGAAGTGCAACCCATGAATTGGGGAATCTCTTTCATTGATCCATGGATGACGGATCTCCAGCCATTCTCAAAACCCGGCTACCCCATTCTCCTAAAATACTCCAAGTTGAGTCACTGGACATAACAGCGCAACAGGCATTGACTTTTGGATGAGATTAACCATGCCGTAGAGATGCCATTTCTCCATGGGCTGTAGAGATAGCCCAGGAGGGAAGTGTTCATGTTTGGTCAGATGCTTGGCTGGACGCTAGCGCTCAGATCTCATGATGTACCCAACACCACGGGGCTGTGAACTTGATGGAGTCTTGAAACTACTGTAAGACAGGCAGTTTGGAGAGGGGGGGGAATTGCTGACATCTCTCCTAAATCTTACTCAGCATTGTTATTTTGGACAGAAAGACTCTAAGGCTGGTTTGGGACAGGGAAAGGAGAGAGGAGCATGAGTCGGACTCTTGAGCTGACTCTATTAATAGATGAAAACAAATCCATAAGATTTATAGGAATTCCTCATGAGGTAATGCCTTAGGAGAAGTTAAGGGATTAATGAGGTGTCGAGATTTTGTTCTTGTTCTTCCCTTATTTTTTTCTGACTCAGGCGGGCCTCCTGTTTGTTATTTCTGACTCACATTCCTCTCCAGGTTCAGTGTTTAAAGGCCCCCCCTGCTCCCCCTCATTCGGGAGTGTGTGTAAATATTTACAAACCTTTGAAAGCCTCTACCGAAGCCGAAGTCTGCAACCACACTGAACGTGTTTGCCTAATGCCGAACCAAAGGCGTTGTTATTGCCCCTGCGAGCCGGGGCCCCTCCGCCAGGAAACCTCCGAATGACTCCTCATAAATGTATTAGTAAATGCATTAAATATTCGGAGCAAAGGTTCAAATATAGGCATGTTGACATTAGAAGAGGGGAGGGTATTTGACAACCTTACTCAGCTTTACCGGTGGACGGAAAGGTTGTTGCCCGAAGGTTCACCTAGGGAGGATGGGGAGTCGGCCGAAGCACAGTGACGGATCTGCAGTGCATCCGTGCCACCTCGTGCTGAGGGCTCATTAAAATGGCCAAGAGAAGGAATACGGGTCCGCTCTGACTCCAGTTCACTGTTGAGGACATTCGCTCCCCAAATGTGCAAAGCACCCGACAGTCAAATTTATCCCGTTCAAAGAGAGAGCAAAACTCTTCTCCCTGCTGTACTGGGACATGGGAATCTCCCTTTCCTTGCACCCACTCCTATGGTTTGAAAAAAAAAGTGAATCTACTAGGATATATAACTTTCCATAGCTGTCCCCATCCCACCCGGCCTGAAATAAAGAAAGGAAAAAAATAACATCTTATTAAAAAATCCCCAAGCTTCCCTCAGTTTTGGATAAAGGAACAAGGACATTCTGGATGGATGGGTTGAATAGCCAAAACAAAGCTTTTGACCCCATCCTGAACCTAAATGGGCTTCTAGAAAACTTTCCTGACGATGCCACTAACCACAGATTTTGTTTTCTGTTTTAAAGTGTAGGCCTGGGTGAATTATCTTTATTTTTCTTTAAACAAGCTGAAACAGAGGTAGTTTCTCAGCTGTATCTATACACACAAAAAGCAGGCGGGGAAAGACAAAGGAGCCCAAAGACCAGAGTTTACCCACAGAAGCTGCCCCTGAGCATCTGCTTTCAGAGCCCGCGGCTGCGATCTCACCAGGCACCCCACTGATGGGTTAAGTTCAATCTCACTTGTTTTGGGCTGGGTCCAGCAGGATTCCAGCAACTCAGAGAAATGCCCTCCTCCCGAGCCTCGGAAAGAAAATTACAAAGGCAGGCGATTGCATCTTAACACAACACCGTAACCTCTAGAAGCACTTGGAAGGCCAGTGAAAAACGATGCTTCGGCCGTAATCCCAGCCCAGGTCCTGGCTCAGGAACAGGCTTTCACATTGTCACAGTGCTTTTTCCTTCTTTATGCAAGAAGGGAGGAGGTCAGCCCTGCTGACTGGACAAATCCCGCTCAATATGCCTGTCCAAAATCTCCCCCTTCCAGCCCTCATTTGCAGAAACACTGCGGTACATCGTACAGCCTTATCATTGGGGGTGTCTCCTCAGCAGAAACGGTGAAGGACATCTCAGCGCTTCTAAGAGTCTTCCCCCAGATGGAGAGGCTAAGCCATCTCACAGTTACCTCCTGGGGGATTTTCATTTTAAAAGCCATGGGGAGATGTCACACTTAATTTCATTGTGGATCCCGGTTCACTTCTGTCCCATCAGCAGATATAAGGATAGATTTTTTTTGGTTGCCCAGCTGGCATCTGAGAGCCAAACTGAGGCCAGCTCTGTACCGTGTCACCCACAATAATGACAGATGATGACAGGGATGAGCCAGATCTCCACTGGGACCTCACTCCATCAGTCCTATTGATAAGTGAAAGCTGCTTATGAGTACATAAGAAAAGTCATTCTGGGTCACAGCAACTGCCTGCCTGGCCCATTACTCTGCAACGGCTGTGGGAGATGCTCTGCGGGGAGGAAAACACAAATCTGGCCGCTTTCCATCCCCTCATACCCCGCCAGCACCTGGGCTGGTGTATGAGGGATGATAGAAGGTATGTTCCTGCCTAGACATCTCAGCAGCCCCCTGTGGGCATCCTGGCCGTGGGGTTTGTCTCATCCCCTTGTGACCTCAGGGAAACCATCTGCCTCCATGAACTCCAGCAGCCAGAAGTCTCAGAAGACAGCACTGCTGTGTAAAGAAGTAATTTATTTTTTCGCTTTTAAATCAAATCTCTGTTCATTTCTTTACTGCCCCTTGCTCCGGTAATGTCAAGTCGTACAGCAGTATATAAAAGAAAGAAAGAGAAAAATAATTCAAATCCCCCAGGAGGTACGTAACACAACGGACATTGCTAAAAATACATCAAAGTGCACAGCTTCATGTAAGATTTTGAGGGCAGAATCTTAACTACTTTTAAATTGCTTTCTCATCCACAAGGAATGACTAGAGACTGACACTGAACAACTGTACGAAAGAGAGTTATCAATAGTACATGTCAGCGAGGAGACGTCAAGGGAGATCCTGGAACCAGCCTGTATTTTCATTAATGAGGAGTAGAGAGTGAGCTTAAAAATTTGTGGATAATGCTGGGGCAAAAGGAGCTGGGAGCATTTTGCAAGAGTGGATTAAAATGCAAAGTAAGCAACACACTTTGAGAAAGATCCAGATAAATGTGGGAATGTTCCCAGGAGAGTCGGAGTTCAGAAAGCAGAAAAGGATGAAGGAACTGATTTAGAGAAGTTTGTAAGAAGAGGTGTCTTCCCATCTATAAAAGATTATTGCAAAAGCGAGAGAGAAGAAATGGCCTTTATATACTGAGGAAAGAGGACAAGAAATTGCTAGTTTGGTTTCAGATTATGATTAGTTTGAATTCAGATTAAGAAAAAACATAACTCTGCGGATAGTAAAACCCTGGAACAGGTTGTTTAGGGAAACTGTTTTTAAGACCAGAGTAGACAAACATCTTCAGTAACAGCCTAAGTGGTCTCAGTTCAGTCTTGCTCCTAAAAAGATCAGGCTCCGTGGAAAGTCATTCCCAGCCCCGACATTCCCTAACTCCAACGCTGTTTTGATGCAGAGGGACTAAATACATTTAGGAGAGCTGGGTGCAATTTTTTATCCCCTGAATTCATTATCCACTGCAATTTTACTGTATGAAATTACTCTTTCCACCAATAAATTTATTATTCACAAGT